ACCCGCTCCCGGCTCCCATCCCGCTCTTACCCCACCCGCTCCCGGCTCCCATCCCGCTCTTACCCCACCCACTCCCAGCTCCCATCCCGCTCTTACCCCACCCACTCCCAGCTCCCATCCCGCTCTTACCCCTCCCGCTCCCGGCTCCCATCCCGCTCTTACCCCACCCGCTCCCGGCTCCCATCCCGCTCTTACCCCACCCGCTCCCAGCTCCCATCCCGCTCTTACCCCACTCGCTCCCAGCTCCTATCCCACTGTTATCCCACCCGCTCCCGGCTCCCATCCCACTCTTACCCCACCCACTCCCAGCTCCCATCCGGCTCTTACCCCACCTATTCCCAGCTCCTATCCTGCTCTTATCCCACCCGCTCCCAGCTCCCATCCCGCTCTTACCCCTCCCGCTCCCAGCTCCCATCCCGCTCTTACCCCACCCACTCCCGGCTCCCATCCCGCTCTTACCCCACCCGCTCCCGGCTCCCATCCCGCCCGCTCCCACACCCCCAGCTCCCATTCCCGCCCGCCGCGCCGCACCTCTCCACGCTGCTGTGGTGCACGCAGCCGTGCGAGCCGCCCACGGCGTAGATCATGCCGTCGATGACGCCCACGCCGATGCGGTTGCGCGGCACGCTCATGGGCGCGCACGGCGCCCACCGGTCCGTCACCGGGTTGTAGCAGTCGAGCGCCGCCGAGTCCGTGTTGCCGTCGGGCGCGTTGTTGCGGCCGCCCACGGCGTAGAGCAGCCCGCCGAGCGCGCAGCCRCCCAGGCCGCTGCGCGGCGCCGGCAGGTCGGCGAGGCGCCGCCAGCGCCCGCGCCGCGGGTCGAACGCCTCCAGGCAGCTCAGCGAGTGGCGCAGGTAGCCGCCGGCCGCGTACACCAGCTGGCCCACCTTGGGCGCGCGGCCCGGCGGGCGCTCGCGCGGCGGCCGGTGCAGCGTGAGCTCGCGGAAGATCTGCGCCAGGTAGTCCTTGGAGCGCGCGTCGGCGCGCAGCAGCTCGCAGTGGCGCAGCTGCCGCTGCAGGAAATGCGGCGTGAGCGCGTGGCAGCGCACGGCCTGCAGCAGCGCGCGCACGTAGGGCCGCCGCCCGGCGCGGTCGTATTCCACCCAGCGGATGCAGGCGTCGAACACCTCGGACTCGCAGCGCACGTTGAGCTCGTCGCGGCTGAGCAGCGCCGCGAGCTGGCAGTGCGACAGCGCCAGGAACTCCTCCTGCTGCGCCACCTGCGAGGCGGGAGCGCCGGGAGCGGGGGTCACGGCGGGGGGGTT